CCATGCGGAAGCGTCAGTGAACTAAAATCCCTTTTTCTTGATAAAATTTTTTATTTTTTAATATTTTAATACATTATAATATTTAAATTGCAAAATAAAAAAAAAAAAGAACAATGTAAGAGTAAAGATAAAAAATTGTTTTGCGAATAAAGGGACTAATTTGAAAATAAATTCATTGTTTCAAGCACAATAATGCAGAGTTTTATCACGTGAATAGATTCCTTGATGCACTCTTTTTCTATTGTTTAAGGGAAATCGGTTTCTCGATTGATAATACGAAGGCAGGTCTCGAGGAGTTAACAAAGAGCCATTGTTATCGTCTTTTGTTTTCGATTCGAATAAATTTCAAACTGCTATATACGAATTGTATCAAACCTTGTCTCTATATTCTATCGATTTAAGGTTCCGGATCGAATTGTAATCGATTTTCTATTTCTTTTTTTTTTTTTTGCAATTTAGAACGATAAATTTTACATCTGAAGTAAAGAAAAAAAAAAAATTCGCAAGCCAAATGGAGAAATAAACAAGGCAGTGCTTATAAAATGAAATTCGAGATTATTAAAAGTAAATTTTCCCCTTGAATTCAATAACAACTGCACAATATTCGATATGAGTTTCAGATTTCTATTTCACTTGCAATATTATATAAAGGATGGTCAATTTTATGGCTTTTTTTCAATAATTAAAAAGAATCATGTAATACTATATATTTGAAATATAAAATTTCTTTGGCTTTGCAGTGAAAATAATATTTATTATATTTAAGAATTTTTATTTTGTAACAAGATAATAATAATTAATTTCAATAGGTTTGTGTTTGAAGTAAGCTAGGACAATTTTCTAAAAAAGGAGATTGACTAGTGTCGCCTTCCTGCGATGGCGTCATTAACTAATTTCTTTGGCGCGAAATTCAAAATTATTTAAATTTATTTTTATTTAATTTTTATTTCTAATTAAAGAAAATAATTTTCTTTCTGTAAAAATAGTAATAATAACTTATTATTAATATATTATTGCTGTTATCTAGAATAAATAATTCTCGGTTTGTTTTTATTGAAAATAAATTTAACTCTAGTAGAAATTTTTGTTTTCAAAATTTATTAAAACAACACTATGTATATACCAAAGAAAAGAATTGTTATTGATCTTTAACGTATTTGAGATCAAGTTAAACATTTCTTTAGCAACAGATGTAAGAAATGAGGTCAATTTTCCTTTTTGCTAAAGCTGCATATTTGATTATAAATATATGAAAGTTGCTATTCGATCAAGGGCGAATATCGCTTCAAGTGCCATACACACTCACTCAAAAACCTCCTCGAGAAGCTAGACAAACATAGGGTGGTAGCTGTTGGCATCGAGCGTCGAGAATAAGGGTGGTTTTTCAACAACGAAAATGTTTTTCTAAGTCTCCCTTGGCAATACGTGGTTTGTGTACGTCTCTTTAGACATAAAAAAACAACTATCCTTATAATCTCCAGAGAGACGTTCGTCGTTCCTCCCAGGAAAAACAAAGTTTATTTTAAAATTATAATTTTCTGTTATTTTATATATATATATATATATATTGTCGCTGAATTCATTTTATATTAATTTATTTATAACGATTAAAATAATCACCCATTTTTATAACTCTGATTCATAAAAAGCAAAAATTTATATATATCTATTTTTCATTGCTTTATAAAATATTTATTTTCAATTAAATTTTCATTACCTATACAGTTTATTAATATTTGAAAATTGTTTCTTGTTAATAGAGTTTAAATATTCAAAAATTAGTTCACTGACGCCATCGCTAGATGGCGCATAAAAAAGCAGTAATATATTAACTTTAAATTAGATAACAAAATATTTTAAAATACAAAAAAATTAATTTAATGATCAGGATATTTGCATGAAAAAAAAGGACTATTAGAAACGGAAAAATTTTTTTTTACCTCTTTCTAAATAGCGTTAAACCATCATTGCATTTGTCAATGATTTATTCATGCATATATGAGGCAAAAATTGCTGTTACGATATTGTGGTTGGAAAATTGAGGTCGTTTTCTGTTATTTCAGAATGCATTTTCATATGAAGCATTGAAAACATCAGCCATTCAGAAAGGGTTATGTTCCATGTTCAAAGGGCCATTATCAAAATGACCATTAAAATATATTACTCTCATCGCGCACTGACCGGCCTATCGTCCAATGCCTGAAAATGTAAAACGCAGAAATAGTCCGTTGTACGAATCAATTTACGTAAATAATGGAACACGAACATCGAACCAATGACCGAGTACACTAAAAAAAACATTGCTTTTAAATAATATAAAAAATAATATAAATAATATAATATATATATTAAAAATATTCTAAATATTTATTTTAAAAATATTTCCAATTTAATAACAATTTTTATCTCTGATTTTGTAGTTGTAGATAAGTTTTCATTATTATTTGAAAAAATTTTATAAACTAGTGCACTGACGCTACCGTCAGGAGGCGCTGCTTATTACTAAACGATGCGCTACCTGGCGGTGGCGTCAGTGAACTATTTAACGCAGGTGCCACTACAAAAATGAATATCTTATTTATTTTTTGTATTCAATTTCAAAAAAAAAAATTAATTTTTTAATTAACCAATAAATGTTTCATTATTTTTAAAATACCCATCTTTTTCTACTTTTATGAACCACTAAACTGTTAAAGCATAAAAAGCGGGAAAAAAAATATTAAAAACAACCATGTTGCAAAACATAAAAAAATAATAATTTTAAATGTAAATTTTATAAAACAAGGTTTATAGCATACCGTTAATTGAATAGTTTACATTTTTTTTTTTTTTTTTTTTTTTTTGATTTAACGTACAAATGTGTAAAGAAAAATAACCGGTGTTAATTACCATTTTCATTATTTATTATCAAGTGCGTTTGAAAAGAAAAAAAAAGTATTGTGTGAAACATACGCGTACACAAATTTTACAATTGGATGGCCACGTGACACTTCACTAATGAAATATAAAAAAGAACATGTCTGAAACATGTGACGTTATTGTTACGTCAATGTCGAGAATTTTGACTGACGTTCATAAATGATCACCTCGTTGAGTCGCAAAATCAAACTCTCACGAGACATTAATTTTAGTTTTTTTTTTGCAAAAAAAAGAATACCACTTTTTACAATGTTACATTTAACGTTTTATTAAATTTATAATAAAGATTTTTATTTATAAATTAATTTATCTGAATAAAGAATTTTTTACATTTATTAAATATTAAAAACTTTGTTTTTTTAAAATTCCATTCTGAAAAAGTAATTTAATTTTTATATTTAATTAAAAATGTAATTATTTTTTAATTTAATTCTTTAATTTTTAATAAAAAAAAAAGTTTTTTGTAAAACTAAATTTTTTTTTCGCTAAAAAATGTTCTAAAAATAGATATATGTTTAGTATGCCACATTAAATCTGTTCTCCTATATTAAATTTTTTTGAAAAGTTTTTTAAACTTTGATAAAAATAAAAACTATATATTAAAAGGAGAAAAGTTACAAAAATTTTTTTTTTTATCACTGTCTTGTCATTTTGTCGAGTTTTACAATCTTTATTAATCGCGATGGGATTTTTTTCATCTGAATTTCTATGAAGAGTTCGACATTTATTTTTCTTTTTTTTATCGTGAAACTGAAGTATAAGGGTGTTAGTATGGAAAAAAGAAATGGGAAGGTAGATAAGAAGGGATTCTAAAAAGAGAATATAAAGGTAGGTCCTCAGGGGGATGAGGTTACGTTGAGAAATAAGAGAACTTCGATCTTAAATTAAAGTTAATGTATTTTCCGATTCATCTAAGAAGAATCACAGTTGAACAAATTCGTTTCTAATCCAAATAAAAACTTTATTTTTTTTGATAGCATATTTTACTTAACTTTTAAGAAAATTGATCGATTTATTAATAATTAATTATTTATATTTAATTGGTTTAATTAATTAATTATTTATTATAATTATGTTATAAATTAATTAGTTTAAAATTGTAAGATATTTTAATTTTTCATGTTGAGCCATCTAGCGGTGGCGTCACTGAACTAAATGGTATTTTGCGAAATAGTCGTCTCCATTTCCTAAGACAAAGGATTATAATATTTTCTGACTTGAATATTAACTATCTATAAATATTTCTTAGAATTGGACATACGCCATCTAGCGGTGGCGCCATTAAACTAAATATTATTAATTTCTTGAAATAATTGTTTACTTTACATTTTTACTTTCTAAAATGAGGTCCGATATTCTCTAATTGGAATATCCATAAATGATTTTTAGAATTAAACATACGCCTTCTAGAGGTAGATCAAGAGAGAATGATATTTTTTGTACATAAAAACAATTACAGTATTTTTTTATCGAATAATTATAAAAAAATTGTTTGTTTCTTCGAATTTGACATGCGCCTCCTGGCGGTAGCGTCAGTTAACTGATATTTATTAATCTCTAGAAATAATTGTTTTTATTATTTTCTAAATCAAGAGACAATGAAATTTTTGCTAAATAAAAAACAATTACTACATTTTCTGATTTGAATATTAATCAAAAAATATTTCTTTATTTAAATTGCATATGCGCCAACTGGCGGAAGCGTCAGTGAACTAATACAATTACATTATCTAATATACATTATCTATTCAAAAATGTCCCTTTTGTGAACAGGCGCCTCCTGGCGGTGGCGTCAGTGAACTAATCAATATTAATTTCTATATAAATAATTGCTTTTATTTTCTAAAACAAGGAACAATGATATTTCCCCCAAAGAAGAAACAATTACTATATTTTCGGATTTGAATGTTAATCCAAAAATGTTTCTCTATTGGAATTAGACATACGCCTCCTGGCGGTGGCGTCAGTGAACTAAACAAAAATTTCTCAAATTATTATTTATCCAGAAATATATTTTGTTCTAATAAAATAAAATACTTGAATTTTTCATTAAAAAAAAAAAATTTATTTTCTCATTTCAGGGTCCGGTTGGGGAAGTGGGCGGCGTGAGGCTGCCATTACAGTCATTGCATGGATATGGATCAGTTTTCATGTATTCAGCCTCAACCAGCCCTGGGGGTGGAAATGGCCAGGGGAATGGAGGCGGAGGTGAAGTCACCCTCCGTCTCCGTGAACCTGAGGACATTCCAGAAGAGGTCCTCGCTCGTCTCGAGGATACAGCAACCTTATCCATTTCCCTTCAAGGCGATGCTGTCCTTAGGCTAGGGGCGGCTAATGGAGGTATTTAGAAATTTTAATTTACCCTTAATATTAAAAGTTTTAATTTTTTTTTATTTAATTAATTTTAAATTAAAATATTATCTTTGTTGTTCAAGTTTCTTTTTTTTTCGAGAGAAATGAAATTTTAAACACAAAGCCGCTATTGTTAAAAAATGACGTGAATTAAATACAGTAGCTACTTTACGAATTACAATTCAATTGCTTTCGTAAAGTTTTTATTTTTCCCATCTTGAGAATCGACGGGAAACTAAACAGCACTGCGAGAGAAAATACAAAGTTAAATCTCGTAAAAGTCAACATTGAGAATTTATTATTGTGCTTGTTTGTGAAAGAAGGAGAATGAGAGGAATGGGTGATGTTTTCAGAAAGAACAGTGAAGCAAAGAAATTATTCTGCTGTTTTGACCTCGAAACTTAAACCCGTCTTGACCTTATTTTGGTATAAAACAATCCTCGGGGCTAAATTATTATGAGATAAACAAAACTACAAATGCGAATTTCAATTTTACTTGAATCCCTTCCTCTAGTCTTTATTAATGAAAATATATTTGAAATATAGAGGGAATATTGTTTGTAATATAAAATATATAAATTATTTGAAATAAATAAGAAAGTAAAGTTTTTTTTTTTAATATTTCTTAATTGGAATTGGTTATGCGACACCTGGTGGTAGCGTCATTGAACTAAACTATAAATTGGAAAATTATCAAGTTCAATATAATTATATTTTTAATTACCAGCTCTGGATGAAAATAAAAAGAATTGTGTAGGAATAAAACAAAAAAAAAAAAAAGTTCCAAGATTTTCAGTTCTTATTACTATCGATCGTTTTCTTTAATTTTTGAAGTCTTCTTGTACTTAATAAAGTTCCCAATCTTGGTGAAAATAGTGCAATCAGCTCTGGAGCGTCGATCTTTTATAACAGTTCTAGTCTGGAGTTGACACCACTAGTAAATTGATTGAAAACCAAGATTAGAAATCAACAATTGCGATGAGCTCGATGGGAAATCGTGCTTAAAACTAGGTCAACTTACAACAAAGAGAAAAAAAATAATGTCTCTGATAGATATTAATTTTTCAAATGAACTTGATTGCTTCTTTTCTTATGTAAAAAAAATTATTTATTTCAAAATAATAAATTTTTATTATTGATTAAAATTGATGATTAAAATCATGACTTGTTGATTAAAAAAGATTTTTTAGAAATAAATATATCGTAAATTTTAACTTCTCTGTTATAATCACTAACTGGCAACTAATTTTGTATGTAAACTGTTTTAATAACAAGTAGAGGGGTTATGGAAGTCCAAAGTCTTGAGAAATTTCGATTCCAAAAGCAAGTTTCCAAAGTCAGTTATAACCTACATGAAGCCTCTTACTGGCACTTTGCAAAGACTGAATTTCCCAAGTGAAGCTCGTCTATAAAGTTATAGTAATATTAGCCATGTTCCTTGTCCCCCCTTAAAACGATTCAAATTTTCGATCTTTAGGTATCTTAATAAACTTGATTATAATTAACAATCCAAAACTATTCAAATGATCCTAATTAGGCAAATTTTTGAAAATTTTGTCTAAAAGAAGATTTTTTTTTACTCATTTTCATTTTATGACTGACAAAAAATTACTGTTAATTTGGAAAAAAATTAGTTCAGTGACGCTAACGCCAGGTGGCGTTATGGGATTAGTTCACTGACGCCAACGACAGATAGCGCTGTGAATATTAGTAACCTGATTTACGGGTGGGAAAAAAAATTAATTATAAAATGATTGTCAATCTCAGACTACTGATCTTGACCCAGTTTTAAGAATTTCCAACGGCACTTGAATTACATTGAGAGCTCATTAGTCGTATTGAACAAATTCGCATTAATCACTTCTTTCTTGATTTAAATCCCTTGTTTTAGAATATTTGCGATTCTCGTCTGTTCTAATACAACCTGTCTCTGACTTTGGGTGATTCATTTGAACGTAAAGGACATTAGTGTCAACGTTAACGTTTCAAGGAGACTTTCAGAGGGGTAAAGCAGACTCGAGTTGCAAGAGAAAGGGAATGTGCGACAGAAAGAGAGAGAGAGAGAGAGAGGTGGTGTTTGAAGTAGCGTTTCCCCAGCACAAACGACCCTCTTAATCAATCGCCAGCACCTTTATCAAGCCCTATCTCCCCCCCTTCTCACTTGCCTCCCATCTCCTGATACCCCGACTCCCAATAGCTACGTGAAACCAACTCTACCTCGGGAACCAAAGCCTAAAGCCGTCGTAACAAGCCACAACTTCGATAAATCTTTCGAAAAGGGCGTTCCATGGTCCATGTTCGAAACGAAATGAGAAACGCACGATCCCAAACAACCCTTGAAAATCCTGCCTCTTTCAAATCGTAGAGAGAGAGCCGACGATTTTGTCTCCTGAAAATTGTGACTAAGGATTTCTGAATTGCTTCCAATATTGAATTACGTTGACCTAATTTTATTTTTTGGAATTCTTATTTTTAAATAAATAAGCAAATTTTTGATTTGATTAGCTCAGAAATTTACCCAAAGAAAATTTATCTAAAGTTCGATAGGCAATAATGACAACCAACCGATAGCGTTTTTTTTTTTCAAATTCTTGATTATATTAGCTCAGAAATTTACCCAAGAAAATTTATCTAATCGATAGGTAAAGAAAGAAAAAATACGTACCTTTGTTTGTTAAGTTAACCCAAAATTCCAACCTCAATCCCTCCTTGGGATTCTTTCATCTAATAACAAAAAATAGAAAATTAATTACAAAAAGTTTATTTTTTAATATTTTCTGATATTTTATATAAAAATTTTTGTTCAAATGGTTCATTTTTAGGTTAAGTGTGCATATTTTCTGCTACAGCTAAATTATTTTACAATCATTGATAATAATGAATCACAACTTGATTTGAAATATCGAATACAGAAGTAATCTTCAACTAATGCATGTTATCAATATTTATATCCGCTTTAATCTGATGTTTCATTCAATTATCAATCCAACATTGAAGGATCTATCATCACAATATCTCAAGCATTATTTCACGCATACATTATTATATCCACCCACATTTGTGTCATTTCGTATTTATTTACTGTCATCTCTAGACCGGATGTTTAATTATTGTTCAAGGATTATTTTCCCAAAAACTTTGTTCACTTATTTTATTTTTTTTTTTTCCTTAATGAGAATAAAATTGCTTTTTCGAAAGCTGGTTTAGTTAAGTGACGCTTCCGCCAGGTGGCGCACGAAATGTTTTTCCACAACAATTTCGTTTTTCTCTCTTCTTTTTTTATTTCCTTGTTTTCTGGTTTCAATTTTCAGTAGACAAGGGAGAAAGTAATCTTTTTGTGCCCGTTACACTATGCAGAATTCAACGTGTTAAGGACACAATTTCACGGGCATTACTTTCGAAAATGTAGCTAGGAAGCGACAACGTCTTTTATGTTGCTAGCCATCTCCATATCGCACACACACGCCAAAAAAAAATGGAAAGAAAACTGCGCGGTCGACTTCCTTCTTCTGTTCCGACGGTTGCATTGCGATTCTTCTCGGTTCACAGCCACTTCCATCTGGAACGTTATAAAACGACAGCTTTTCAAGGAAAACTTCATGGAAACGTGACATAAAGTGCTACACGTTTCTTAGACGACACCTTCACCAATTTCCTCTTTCTCTCTCTCTCTCTCTTTTTTTGAACGCGGTCCTCCTAACCTTTTTACGAAACACTTTTTCTCTCGAAATATAAGAATAATTTGACAATAAAATATTTTCATGATACAATTTTGTATGAAAAATTGTAAAAGGCAAATTAAATTCAAAAAAAAAAGTTACACCAGGATTGGGTAACTATGTTTATGTGCGCCACCTGGTAATGGCGTCATTTAACTACCAAAAAAAAATTCACTTACAATAAATATATAAAAATTCTGTTTTTCCCAAAAAAAAGTGACTCTTCAAGAGTTCGTATTGGAGAAAAATCTAAATCTCTTGAATTTTATCGACTATTTGAAGAAATTCCATCACTAAATCTTTCCTCACTCAGCCGAGTTGGAAAAAACTTGCTATCGGATCTTGGCAAGAAGGTAAAAAAAAAAGAAAAAAAAAAAAAAAAAAAGAAGAGAAGAAAAAAAAAAGATGGAACGGTTGTCGCTCGACACCAAAACGCTAAAGTTTTGCATGGTCGGCGCCATACGATTTAAGTTCTCCGGCAAAGTTATAACGAGAATTGCTCGCCGTAAAGTTACAAGTTTTTGCACCCAAACTGGACTTTTTTTCCACACCGGTTCCTTCTCTCGACTTCATTCTCTACTTTTTTCTTTACTTTTTTTTTTATTTTTTTCCTTATTCATATTTTTTTTTTTCTAATATGAAAAACTTTGTTTATCCAGAAATGTGAAAATATTCAGTAGTGGACATTTTTTTTTTCGTCCAATGTCACCGCTCGTGGTATCCCTGCGGCGAGAATAAAATGCCGCGGCATATTTCAGACTTATTGCTCCGCCCCTCCCCACCCCCCCACCACAACCCTTTCCTGTACTTTTGTATACTTTTATTGTGCCTAGTTTCATTCTTTGCCGGTTTACGGTATTACCGCAGCATTACAAGCATTTCGAGACCCAAGCCATTTGAAAAAAAAGGGGGAGAAAAAAAAAGGTGCGCGCGGAAGTAAAACGAAGAAGCGTGTGCTGCCTGTACGATTTATTTCAAATTACTTTAAACGAAGCGAAATAAATCCAACCGAGAAAACTGTTTTCACATTAAACCCAACGACAAAGTACTTAAACGACTAACTGGTCTTTTGGAATACTTTATTTAATTGAAGTAGAATACACTGGCTTTAACTATTTTTGTTTGTAATTTAGTTACAAAATAGAATGCTTTTTTAAAAATAGAAATTAGTTTTGAGGTTAGGAAAGTTGAAAAATAATGAAAATAGTTCTTAGACGCCGTCACTAGATGGCGCTAGTTAAGAAATTTGAAAATGTAAATATTTCCTAG